CGTCTCGGGGTGGGTCTGGGCTTTTGGGTACTTTTTTCGGGTAAATTTCCAGGACGCCCAGGGCTGGACTCTGGTTTCAGCCCCGCGGATGGCGTTCCCGCGTGTGGGCGTCTAAAAGGAAACCAGAAGCGGGGACGGGATACAGAAACCCACTTACTTGGGCGCGTTGGCCCGGGCGGGTGCCCATCCGGACAGTTAGACTCTCCCTTCATTCCCCCGCCTCCGAAGGGACATACACGGAGAGGAGGCGCCCCGGAGCGAGTTTCAGGCACCAAGTGATTTCCTCGGGGAGATGATGAGTTTGCTCTGATCTTCCAGCTCCCCCGCATCCTGCCCCTGGTGCGCGGGGGACGGCAGGCCTGTAAATACACGCTCATGACTGTCATCTGACTTCACCTGCCGCCGCCGCACACCTTGCGCGGCGACCTGTGGGCAGTGAGTGGACCAGATTGATCTCGCGCCTCTCCTGTGGGAGGCAGGTCTCTTGGGGGGATGGGTGTCCATCTCATTTCGAAAAGTAAGTTCATCCTGGTTTGTTTCTTAAACGCTTGCGCTCTCCTCCCGGCAGCGATCTGGAGTTGGCTTTGCTGTTAGGCTGTGGGGGAAAGCGTCGTGAAGTTAGATTGTGAACTCTAACCTTGGGTAAATTAGTGGAAAATGGAAGCTGATGTGTGTGTGGAATCCTGTGTTAGGCTCTTGCAAGTTTGTACGGTGATAGCAACACGTTTACATTTTATTTTCTGCACGCTTGCCCTTGAAGTCGGCTGCTTTTGGTTAAAAAAAAAAAAGTGTCCTGAAACAGGAACTATTTTTAAAATTACTTTTAATCGGATGTCATTGTGATGACCAATAATAGTGTTGTACTTACAAGCTCAGTATTGATTTTCCCGCACTTAAGCACTCTACACCCCAGAGGATTTGTGGAACATTGCCCACAAGTAATTGGAAGATGAAGTTATGGCTTTTCTTTCTTTCTTTCTTTCTTTTTTTTAAAAGGAAGCTAACTTTTTTTAGGAAAAAAAGAGAGGTAAATATCCTTAAACTTTTAGTGTTGACTTTCATGCACTTACAAGAGAAATATTGAGGGAAAATTCTCAAGACATTCCACTGTTTAACCATGTTTTAAAAAGAAAGAAAAAGTAAAATGGGTCATGGAACTAGGCTAGAGTTTTAAAGTGGAAATATCTCCTTGGCTCCTTTTTAAACATACAGGGTGGGGCTGAAGTAGGTTTACAGTGGTTCATATGGAAATTAAGACAAGACTTAATAAATAATAATACAAAAATGAATTCTGTGTTGCCGTACTCACAACTGTAAACCTACTTTTGCCCACTCCTGTATATTAAACACACATAATATATCTTAACACCAGGAGTGTTTTATATGGAGTTGAGTTGTCATTAGTACTCAAAGATTTATTTAAAATACCTGGAGGGTCACTCAAAGCATTTAAGCTTACGTATGAGGGCCTATATGTGTTTGTGTTTTTTCCTTCTGTAAGCCTGTTGAATTTTATGTGTTGTCCATGAAAGGAGAAGCTGGTGGTACATTTAAAAATATATATTTCTGTTGATTTCAGAGAGGAAGGGGGGAGGAGAGAGAGAGAAACATCAATGATCAGAGAGAATCATTGATCAGCTGCCTCCTGAATGCCCCCCTGAATGCCCCCTACTGGGGATTGAGTCCACAACCTGGGCATGTGCCCTAACCTGGAACCAAACCATGGCCTCCTGGTTTACATAGGTCAGTGCTCAAGCACCGAACCACATCAGCTGGGCTGATGGTACATTTGAAAAAAAAATTTGTAATCATCTATCACTAAAACTTCCTAGCAGTGCGAGGCTCACAGATATTCAATTAATAATTTTCAATTTAACTACTCTTAGTTATTGTGGTTAAATATAGGGTTCATTTTATAATGAATTGCTATTTTCTTGTAAACTCTGAGACTGTGAAGGTTTAAAAACCTGGTTAGATGGAAAACAGAATG